CTGCCTGTGCCCCTACCCATCCTATCTCATCGGTTCCCTACTGCCTGTGCCCCTACCCATCCTATCTCATCGGTTCCCCTACTGCCTGTGCCCCTCCTCCCAATCAGGTGGTGTCGATTCACGACGGCTACTTGACTCTCTTTGTGCCTCGCCTTGACGTGCAAGGCCAGGTGCCCTTTCAGGTGCGCTCAGGTGCCTTTTCAGGTGTGCTCAGGCGCCCTTTTAGGTGTGCTCGGGTGCCCTTTCAGGTTTGCTCATGCTCCTTATGAGGTGCGTGCAGGTGTCCGTTCAGGTATCAGGGTTTAGGGGTTTAGGGTTTAGGGTGTGTTCATGCTTCCTTCCTGGTGTACTCAGGTGCGCTTCCCGGTGTGTTCCTGTTCCTATTTAGTGTGCTCAGGTGCCCTTTCAGGCGTGCTGAGGTGTCTTCGTATGCTGTCCATCTGCCGTCCATTTGCCATCCATCTGCCCACAGGACAAGGACAGCATGGCAGTGCTGCCTCGCAAGCACGTGAGCGTGGAGGCAGAGGAGGCGGAGCAGCAACAGTTCCGGCACAGGCTGCGAGTGAGAGTGGAGACGGGGATGGCAGGCGAGTGGCACCAACTGACCTCATGGGGAATGCAGGGGATGCTGCTGCTGCTGCTGCTGCTGCTGCTGCTGCTGCTGCTGCTGCTGCTGCTGCTGCTGCTGCTGCTGGTTACGAGGAGGATGACGAGGAGGATGAGCGGGAGGGTGGTGGTGGTGTGGGCCAGTGCGGCATGGATGAGGACGCTCCTGCATGCGTCAAGATAGTGGTGAGTGCACATGGCACGGCATGGCACATGGTTTTCCATTGTCCAAGTCAGGCTCATCCAATCTGTTCGCCACACTTCGCATCACCCAAACCAACTGTCTTCCCACTCTCTTCTCCCCTCCCCCCCCCCTCAACCATCAATCCTCTACCAGGATTTCCAGCAAGGCTTCTCCATCGTCGAGTAACTGGCTCTTCCAGACCCTCTGGGTCCAAGCTGTCCGCCTTCAGGTGAATTTTGAGGTTCAGGGCATTTTGAGGTTCAGGGCATTTTCCAGGGTCATGTTGATTCCATGATTCAGCTGAGCATTGATTGCTTGTGGTAGGCGGATCAGCAGAACGGAAAGACTTACACCAACTACTAGCACGTGCAACCCTTTAACCCCCCCGTTTTGCGGCGCCTCAAAAACCCGCGTGGGCTGAGACTGTTTTTTGAGGCGCCTAAGAGAAAGCCCCACCGTTCAACCCTGACCTCCATCGCCCCCCCTTTCCTTCCTGCCGGCTCCATCGCTCGCGTCCCCACACTCGTTGTGGTATCAGCAGATGCAGATATTTTTTATACAAAAGCTCGCTTCCCCACACTCAAAGCTTTTGGAGTCGAGTCAAGATGGTAGTATTGGCAGATGCACACCCTCAGCCGTTGCTCGTGTTCCCTCCTCCTTTGCTGTGCTCCCCTTCCCGTGTACCCATGCCCAACCCCCCCACTCCTTCTCCCCTCCCAGGCTCCATCGCTCGCTTCCCCACTCTCAAGATGGAGATACTAGCAGATGCACACCCCTCAGCCGTTGCAGCGAATCTCAAGAGCCAATCAGAGGCTGCCAGCTCGGCTAAGCGAGGGCTGCTGGGGGAAGAGGAGGGAGGAGGGGAGGAGGGTTGTGGGGAGATGGGAGGAGAGGGTGATTTCCATTCCTCTCACTTTGGACCCTGGAGGGAAGAGGAGGAAGAGGATGGGGAGGAGGGGGAGGAAAGGGAGGTGGGCAGAGGAGGGGGAAGACAGGGAAGGTTGGAGGAGGGAAGAAGTGGGAGCAGGGAGGAGTGGGGGATGTGGGGATTACGAGTCAGAAGGACGTATTTTCTGGGAAGGTTCCAGTGGATGGCCTGATTTCATCAGGCGATGTGGATTTTGAAGCGGATGCTGCTGCGGCTGCCACCGCCGCTGCGGTGGCTGCAGCCGTGGTGGCAGGGGAAGGGGAAGAGGAGGAGGAGGCAGGGGAAGAATTGCAAGACACAGGAGATGAGGGAAGGGCAGGGGAAGGGGGAGGACACAAGGGGGGTCAGAAGGGGGGATCAAAAGGGAAGGGTGGGAAAGGCCAGCAGGGTATGGCAGGTGGGGGTGAAGAGGGAGGGAAGGAGGATAGAGCTGAGGGGCTGGGCATGGGATGGTGGGGAAGGGGGGAGAGGAAGGAGAGGGAGGAGGGTGATTGGGAGGTTCAGTCCGGCAGGCAGCCAGCAGTGAGAGCGACGCCATAGCCAGCAGCAGCAGCAGCAGCACTGCCAGCAGCGGCAGAACCACTGATGGTGCAGCAGGATGGTGGCGGTGGCGGTGGTGGTGGTGGTGGGTGGGTGGTGGGTGGCGGTGGTGGCGGTGGTGGTGGTGGGTGGTGGCGGTGGTGGTGGGTGGTGGTGGTGGCGGTGGTGGTGGTGGCGGTGGTGGTGGTGGTGGTGGCAGTGGTGGTGGTGGCGGTGGTGGTGGTGGTGGTGGTGGTGGCGGTGGTGGTGGTGGTGGTGGTGGTGGCGGTGGTGGTGGTGGTGGTGGCAGTGGTGGCGGTGGTGGCGGTGGGTTGGGTGCGTTCCGCGGTCGATGCGGCATGCACGACTTGATGGACGCCATGCGGGCGCTGCACATGGCGGGAGGTGAGGCGTGCTGCATGAGGTGAGGCGTGCTGCATAAGGCAAAGGACACTCTGCTATTATTGCTCCAAATTCTTCCAAATTTTTATGGGTATGGGATCAATGCGCTGTGCATAATCTGATGGAGGCCGTGCAAGCACTACACATGGCGGGAGGTGAGGCATGCACACATGGCGGGAGGTGAGGCATGCACACATGAAACCATCAATGTCCATGTGGCAACCGTTCTTCCAACACTTGCCATGAACCATCCATGTGAACCGTCTTTCCCGTTACCTGATTCCCACCTTCCCCTCCCTGCCACCAAACCCTTTCGTTCTAATGTGTTTCCGGAACCACCCTTAACAATACCACCACCCCAATCCCATGCGATTCTATTCCATCCACAGACTCAGCACGCCTGGTCAGCTCGCCAGCGGACCTTGCTTGCGCTTTTGAGTCGACTCAAAAGTCCAACCCTATCCCATTCGCTTCGTTCCATCCACAGACTCTACAAGTGTGGTCAGTTCGCCAGCGGACCTTGCCTTCTCTCTCTCACACAGTGGAGCGCCCCCTCAAGGGCCTGCCCCTTCCGCCTCGGCCTCCTCCCCCTCCACTGCCAGTCCACTTCCTCTGCCGCCCGGTGTTTCCATAAGTGCCGCCCTGCCACTCTCCTTGGGCGAGGAGGCAAGCCTCAATGGTGGTTCGTCCATGCGACAGAAGCAGCTGCTGGTGAGTGTGATGATGTGTAGAGTCAGGAGATTGTGTTCTCTTTCTCTGTTATGCCACTCTTCATCCTCTATAAGTTTCGTCACTGTCTCTTTGATTTGAATCATGCACGTGTACCCCAATCTGTTTCATGATGCAAGTCGCAAGTCTATTTCACCCTGAATGTGCTCCTTTACTGTGTTTCCAGGCAAAAGCGGCTCACATCCGCGCCATGCTGAACAAGTCTGCCAGATCAAATGCAACTGAAAAGCAGCGGAGAAGAGCTGCGAAAGAAGCACTTCTGCGACAGAGAGCTCAAGGTCAATCGTTAGGAGTCTATTTTTGAGCCGCCTAAAAGAAATAGCTGGAAATTTGCAAAAGAAGCACTTCTGCAACAGAGTGCCATGATGAAAGTTACAACGCGCAGTGCATTGTGAAAGCTTGCTTGGGTCATCTTGGCAAATGCAGCGTGCTTCATTTCATATGGGATTGCGTACATGGTTCTCGTCCAATAGACTACACCTAAATAGGGTGGGTGGGTGGGGAAAACGAAACTGGAACTAGAAATGAAGAACGTGGGTGAGGTCGAATGGCCTCACGTCCCTCTTTTGTAGGCAAAAGAGGGTGAGTAGCGCTTCGTCGCTGTCCTTGCTGCGTTGGCCCTCGCTACACTTTCACAATACACATTTTTTATTAAGCGTTACACGTTTTCAAAAAATTACATATCATGTTAAATTATATAAGTGTAGGCTTGGTAGATGTTATTGAACATTACTGTATAGGGTACAACACCCCTCCTTGTATCCCTCTCTCTTCCTTTCTAGGCTCTCTTTTTCTCTCGACATTCTCGCCTACCGCATAGATCTAGATCTCACGCCATCTTAATGGCTTCACCTATTTCTACTTAGCCTACCTTCACGACATGGTATCAGAGCAGGACGCCCTTCCCGGGGCTGCTCTCCACGCTTTCGCTGCGTACTCGTCCTCACCTTGCCGCCGTCGCGGCCTTCTGTCCGCTTGCCGTCGTCGTGGCCTTCTGTCCGTTTGCCGCCGTAGTGCCATTCTGTCCGTTCGCCGCTGTCGCGGCCTTCCTACTGCCTGCCGCCGTGGCACATTTTCCAAGATGCCGCGGCGGCCTTTGTGTGCTGTCATCCCAGCGTCGACGAGCAGCCGCGGCTCTGACGCCACGCTGTGGTGGCGTCGTCGTGGTGCCGTGGCTGTGTCGTCGGCCTGTTGCCATCGCGCACCACCTGCGTCGCTGCTGGATTTGCAGCCCGCCCGCTTGCTAGTAAGCGCCGCGCCACCAATGGCGCCGCGCTGAAGATCCGAAGCCCCGCCCCTTCCCCCTTTCCTCCGTCCCCTCCTCTTCGCCACAGCCGCCGTCTGACTCTCGCCGGTCGTTCCCCTAGTGCGGAGTTTGGACACGCCGCCGGAAGGGCGGGGCCGCTGCCGTCACCGCCGTCGTAAGCCGAAGCCGTCGCCGCTGTTGTCGCCGCAGGCCTGTTGCCGCCGCACGCCCGTCGTCGTCGTCGCTGTCGCCGCTGCCGTGGACTGCCGCTGTCGCCATCTCCAAGGCCTTGGGGTTGGCCCTGTTGGATTCGTCGTGGCTGATGGGAATGGGGGTGCTAGGTTAGGGGGTGTGGGGGTGTGTGGATCCTTCTACTACCAAGCTTAGGGGGTGTGTTAAATCATATAAGTTATTCTATAAGTGTAGGCTTGGTAGATGTTACTGAACATTACTGTAGAGGGTACAACACCCCTCCTTGTATCCCTCTCTCTTCCTTTCTAGGCTCTCTTTTTCTCTCGACATTCTCGCCTACCTCCTAGATCTAGATCTCACGCCATCTCCATGGCTTCACCTATTTCTACCTAGCCTACCTTCACGACACATCATACATGGTCCATCATGGTACCGTAATCCCCCGAATATATGCCCACCCTTTAATTAAGCCCATTAGGCTTATAACGTGCAAGTGCATTTATATCCGTTATTTCATTAAAAGCCCACCCAACTTATTGCAAAGGAGTTTCCTATAAGCGCATCATATTTCCGTAAAAAAACCGGCTGGAACGCGGAAATTTTATATTGGAAACCCCCACCAGCCCTCAAGCGCCCCTTCCGCAGCCCTTCCGAGTACCTTGTTACCGACAAGCGTTTTTTCCGCTCACTAGGCCTGGCTGTGATTGGTTGATTCCACTGTGGATTTGTTGGCGAAATATTCACGAGCCGTTTCCACCCAATCAATCCATGTGACCCCCTCTGGAGAATGATCCGTTTGATCACAAATTCACCGAGCTACATTTTGGTGCCCATGGGCTTATAAATTTTATTTGATTAAAAGCGCATTTAAATTTCCAAGGGGTTCCCCTATAAGCACATATGGCCCTATGTGGGGGATTACGGTACTATAATCCCCTGCAGTAGACACCGTGGGGTGTACTGGTTAGGGCGTGGAATGTACGGTTTCGAACTGCCAGCAAGGGTACAAACAAGACAAGAGCAAACACGGGCGGCAATACTAGTCCAACCACTGGAACAGTAGCCATAAGGTCAGTCAGGAGAATATATATAAATGAGAAGTACACAATCAAGGTCCTAGCGAGGAGCTACAGGAACTAGACCAAGCTGTACACAGTGCCGCTGATGATCTTTAGGCACAAGCGCCTCAGTATAGATATCAGCTGTGTTGGCACCTGAGGCCAAGTGTACTACGCGGGACTGGCGGCGCTGCTGTAGCTCACGCAGAAGAAGTACCGCAGCTGGATGTGCTTCGTTCTGCCCTCGAGTCGAGGCTCCTGACACTAGAGGATCATGGCCCTGTTGTCAGCGTATAGGACCAGGGCAGAGCTAGGTCGCTCACCTAAGTTTGTGAGCAAGAAGGCCAGCTAGCGGAGCTCCTGTGCCGCCATGGCACCAGCGTAGATCTCAGCCTCACATCTAGACTGTGCAACAGACGACGAGCGGGTGGACCTCCACGAGATGGCGCGTGCACCAAAGCTAAAGCAGTAGCCTTGGGAGGACCTGAGCGTCTCAGCGTCGTTTGCCCACGAAGTGTTTGTGTGTCCTGTAAGGACCACTGGCCTGCGTCCTCGTAGTACTAGCCCCATGCCTGATGTACTTGCTAGATAACGCAAAACCCTCTTAGTGGCCGACCAATGCTGTGGTCGATGTCTGCCTGTCGCCACAAAGCAAGCAAGGATGCTGAGAGGGTATGCGAGATCTGGACATGTGCAAGTCATCAAGTACATGAGGCGATCCACCAGCTCTGCGTAAGGACGAGTAGGGTCTACTGACTCGTCAGGGACTGGAGCTGAGAGCCTGTGGTCTACTGGCAGAGATATGGGCTGTGCGGAGGAGAACTGAAGACCGAACATCTGAAGGACCTGATGCACCAAGTGTGACCGTGTGAGAGTGATGGTGCGCGTTGCTCTGTCCCTGGAGATCTGCAGGCCAAGGTAGCGGTGCAGCTCTCCCAGGTCAGTGTAGGTGTGTCTCCTTAGCAGCTCGGCCTTCACGGAGGCCAGTGTATGTGTCTGCAGTAGCAAAGACCAGGTCATTTACTTAGACAAGGATGTAGAACGAAGTCTAGCCTGAGCGAACGAAGAGCGAAGGGTCTGCAGAGGACGGGAAGAACTGCAGGTCAGCTAATGTAGCACGCAGCGTGTCGTGCCACTCTCGGGGCGCCTGTCGTAGGCCGTAAACCGGGCGCCGGAGTAGCCAGTGGGTCCCCGGGGCGAAGGTGCCGGTAAAGCCTGGCGGGCGGCGCAGGTAGACCTGCTCGTGCAGATTGCCCTGAAGAAACGCTGTCAAGAAGTCGAGATAGTGCAGCTCGTAGTCACGCTGTGTTGCTACGTGTAGCAGCGCGCGAAGAGTAATCATCTTCGGGGTCAGGGCGAAGGTCTGGAAAAAGTCAACACCCTCACGCTGACTGAAGCCTCTAGCCACATAGCGCGCCTTGAACTCCGGCAGCTCTCAAGGAGGGCGCTTCACCTTGAAGAGCCACCAGCCATCGTCTGTGTTCACCCCACGTGGGGGAACTGCATCGACGTAGGTGTTGGTGGATCTCCAAGATGCCATCTCCTGTTCCATGGCAGCTATCCACTGTGTGGCCCAGGGTTCCGAGGTCGCCTCAGCGTAAGTGTGAGGGGTCGGGATGTCAAAGGCGTCTGGGTCACCCTCGGGGACTAGCAGCATAGAGAATAGATGAGGCGCGGACTCGGAAAGGAAAGCAAGCTCGTACTGCCGGTCCTCCCGGATGTCATTGCCAAGGGCAGCAGCACCTCCGACGTACGGAGGAAGGGCAGGGTCCGAGACCAGAGTGGTGGCGTAGTCAAGGCGGTGGGTAGAGGCAAAGTCAGCGATGGCAGTGGCAAGAGCGTCAAGACTTGAGACAGGAACGGAGAGGTCGGTAACGAGGGAGGCGAGGACAAGAGGAACAGGGGGGCTAGCAGCACGAAGGAAGTCAGACAGAGGAGGCAGAGTGAAAACAAACGACGACGGAGGAGGCGAAGGGAGGAGGGGAGGACGAGACGCGTGGGAACGATGCAACATACAGTAGGGTAAGAATGCTGAACAGGAGAGACAGGACGAGCATGAGAGGGACGGCGAGACCAGACGTGGGACGGAGGCGTCGGGTCAGGAGACACCAGAGGGGACAAAGGAGGAGAACGAGGGGGGAACGAGCTGGAGACGATTCCAGCGGAGGAAACACAGGGCCGTAGACAAGCAGGGGAGGCGGCGGCAGAGGAGGCGCAGGCGGGCGGTCGGGGGAAGGAAGACCGAGGAGGCGAAGGGCGGACACCGGCGGCGAGTGCTGCTGCTGCTGTTCCACGCCGACACCAGAACCTCCAGCTGCACCACGGCTGCCTCCGGGACTCTCCACGCCAACACCCCAGAATGAGAACCCTCCCCAGCACCGGTGCCACCCCAAGGACCGCCGGGACAAGCCACGACAGTAACCCGAGGACTAGCACCATGCTCAACACCCGCACCCCCAGAGCTCGCGGACCCCTGCGATAGCTCCTGCTGCGGCAGCGGCGATTGCGGGTGCTGCTTCGGTTGCGACGACGGCGAGGGCTACTGTTGCGGTGACGGCAGACAACGAGACAGTGGGGCGAAGACAGGCGGCGAGAACGGAGCCGCGGGGCCACCAAAGTCAGCTGACTCCTCAACCGGGACAACCGACAGGAGGGGAGTGACGTGAGACACACCAAACGGGGCAAGACGGGGAGGGAGAGGAGCAGGGGCTACCGGGGGAGTGGGAACCAGAAATAGGGGTGGGGAAACCGAGAGACCTCGGTGGGGAAAGCAGTGGTAGAAGGAGATAGACTCGTCAAATGTGAAGTCACGCGAGTGAAAGAAGCGGTGAGAAGGCGAGTGGTAGAAGTGCCAGTCAGACGCATCAAGGGTGAAACCAAGGAAGACATGGGGGACATTGCGGGAAGTGAGCTTGTCCGTGCGTGAGGCACGAACGTGAGCAAGGCAGCCCCTGACATGGAACGCAGATGCGTCACTAGGGAACCCGGTCCAGAGAAGGGTCGATGAAACCTGCGGCCGCTGGGAGTGCGGCAACAGGTTAAGTTGGTGAGCGGAGTAGCGAACAGCGAACGTCCACAGAAAATGGGGTGCACCGATAGGTATCATAGAGGTACGAGCCACCTCCATGACCAAGCCGATGCATCGCTGAGTGACCCCATTCTGCTGCGGAGATTCCGGCAGGGTGTACGACTGGGTGATGCCCTCCGCACGACAGAACCGACCAAGCCGACCAGAGGCAAACTCGCCATCACGGTCGGAGTGGAGACATAGTACGGGGAGGCCGCGGTGGACTCGTGCAGCGACCACCCACGGGATCAGAATGTCAGGCACGTCGGCCTTCCACTCCAGGGGAAACATCATGGTGTAGTGCGTATAGTCGTCGACAAGCACTAGAAAGTAGCGCTCTCGACGCGGCCCAGGGACGGGGGCTGGGCCCCAGACGTCCAGGTGCAAGGTATGGAGTAGTGTAGTAGCAGGGCGAAGCGAGGAGGAGTGAGGAGCACTGCGCAGCAGGCCCTCGACGCAGGGCGTGCACGGCGGCGTAGGCGAGGGAGGGAGGGGAGGGAGCGACGCGGGGAGACCTAGAACAAGACTGTGCTAGGACATGTGACGTAGGTGCGGAAGGGCAGGGTGACCTAGGCGGTGGTGCTACACAAGCGACGGGTGAGTGAGCGACTGACACGCAAGCCGCAGCGACCTGGGTAGACGCATGCACTTAGGAAGGTGCCCTCACCAAGGGGGACATGGTGTCAAGCGTAAACAGGCCAGACACCAGGTCACGGGGGAACGTGGTGAGGGGGGCATCAGTGGCGGCCTCGGTACAGACCGCATACCGCTCGTGTCTGAGGAACGTAGTGGTGACGCTGAGGTCCTGAAAACAGCAGACATCAACTAGGTTCCTGGAGAACGAGGGGATGTGCAGGCCTGTAAGAGAGCCCGAGGGAACCGCCGGACAGGGAAGGGTAGAGGAGCTATGGGCAACTATCGGTCTTGAGGAGGGGTCAGCTAGCGCGACAACGGCAGGGGCGGCAAGTGGCGGGAGCGCAGTGTGGTCACGGAAGAAGTAGGCAGACGCACCAAAGTCAAGTGTGGAAGAGAACGAAGCGGTGGCGGCAGCTGGCGGAGGGGCTAGCATGGAGCCTAGGCTAAGCAAGGCAGACGGTCCTACGCCTGACGTAGTAGGGGAGCCTACAATACACTCAGGTGGCACACCTACACTAGGCAACACAGGGTAATAAGATCCAAGTACACTAGAGTTATCAGCATACATGGCATGCAATGCAGAGCAAATCTAATCCATATCCATCTCAAAGACCGGAACACGGCGGCATACCAGACCGGGCCAGTCGGGAAGGTCCGGCGCAGGGCCGAAGCGAAGACGAAAGAGGTCGTCGAGGCGGCGGAAACAGAAGGCAGCAATGTGGCTGGGACAGCCACACACAGTGCCGTGGAGGGGGCCAGTCTGGAGCTGGTACTGGCAACCTACAGAGCCGAAGCTACCACCCGACGCCGAGCTGCGAGGGCCGACTCCGTAGCCACCACCACCAGAGGCACCGGGCCACCCCGGCGGGAGGCGGCCCCATCTCCACCACCCCCACCACCCTTCCCTCCGCCACGCCCCCCCTGGGGGCGGCGATCCCTACCCTGACGCGGCTGTGCTGATGCCGCAGCGGCGGTCTCAGCGCCAGGGGATGTCTCAGCGACAGCGGCACAAACGTCAGTGGAGGTGAGTGGCAAGGTCAGCGACAGTGGGGAAGGACGCAAGATCAGGGTACAGCATGGGGAGGACCAGGTGGCCAGCAGAGGCTGTGGCGGGCGTGGAATAGCGTGCAACAACTGCATCTAAGAATTCCTTGGCGTTTGCTACAGTGGTAAAGCAGGGACGCTCGGACAGGGGGAAGGCGTGACTAATAGCAAGCTGCGCTACGGCGTCGCGTGACTCCCATAGAGCACGAGCAAGCGCAGCAGCGGAAAAGGCCTCACGCTCAGCAGGGGTGGGGGCATTGGGAGGGCAGCAGGCGCGGTGGGACGGGGAAGCAGACCATCGATATGAACAGCCAGAGAGTACCCGTCCTGGCGCTGACCTGTCAGGTGACAACGAAGGTCAACGAGCCAGGCCTCAAAGTCGATCACCTGACCCTCTGCGTCCACCATCCCACGACCTCAGCGACTGACGGCGTCACGACGGCATGGCGGTACAGCGGCATGACGACCCGACGACACGGCGGCACAGCGGCACGGCGACACGGCGGCACGGCGACACGGCGGCACGGCAGCACGGTGACACAGCAGCACAGTGTCACGGCGAGACTGGGGTCAGCGCGAGGGAGACCGGCAAGGAAGGGGCCGGCGAGTAAGGGGGGGGGAGGGGGGGGGACGGCGAGCTGGGGGTCGGCTAGTGAAGGGCCGGCTAGTAAGGGGCCGGCGAGCTGGGGGCCGGCAAACGAGGGGCCAGCGAGCTAGGGGGCCGGTCCGCGCGGGGCCAGCTAGCGCGGAGCCGGCGAGCGCAGGCCAGCGAGCGTGGGGCCAGCGGGCGTGGGCCAGCGAGCGCGGGGCCGGCGAGCGTGGGCCAGCGAGCACGGGCCAGCAAGCGCGGGGCGACGAGGGCGGGCCTACGAGCGCGGGGCGACGAGCTGGGCCAGCGGGCACGGGGCTACGAGGGCGGGCCAGCGAGCGCAGGGCAACGAGGGCGAGCCTACGAGCGTGGGGCGACGTGCTGGGCCAGCGAGCAGGGGGCTACGAGGGCGGGCCAGCGAGCGCGGGGCGACGAGGGCGGGCCTACGAGTGCGGGGCGACGAGCGCGGGGCAACGAGCAGGGCCTACGAGCGCGGGGCAACGAGCGGGGCCTGTAGGCTAGTACAAGGGCTAGGACTAGAGCTAAGACTAGGGCTAGGACTAGGGCTAAGGCGGAAGTGCGGGTGGGTGAGGAGGACCTAGCCTAGCGTGATACCATCTCAAGGTAGCGAGTTCACTAGACTAGAATAGGGCATACAGGGTAGTTTTGTTCTAAGTGTTGTACTCTCTAGGGTATGCTCATAGCTAGCCTATAAACATGTTGACAACACAGGGTGCTCTGCTGTACCGACCCTGATGTTCCAGCCTAGGGGATGGGGTTTTTATGTGGTGGTGACACGGATTTTTTTGGTGGGTAAACACTGATGGGTCGGTGTAACAGCTTCCAAGATTAGTGGAAATTTGCCTGCCGGCGGAAACAAGTGCAAAGAATCACATTTATCCAACCTCGACTCAAAAATTTCATCCCTCATTCCCCTAGGAACAGGCCATCTGACCAGTACTTCGTAACAAGGGCACCACAATGCTAGCAAAACGGAAGCCTCACATTTTTAAACGCCTGTGGGCTACCCCATGCAGCAGCAGGGGAGAAGGTAACAACAAGGCCTCACAATATCGGCCTCTCACTCTCATCTTCCGCTCCCCCTTCTGTGTCATCTTCCACAACCCTAGGCGTGTCATCCGTCACTTTAAACGCCTCCAGGAAGTCCCTCTCCAGGTCGTGCAGCGCGCCGCACAGCACAAGCGAGTGCAGCGGCGCTCCAAAGTCCACATCCCGCAGCTGCTGCATGCTCCCAAACACCAGGCGCTGGGAATCGGCGCCCAGCCGTGCCGCCCCCACACACATGGAGTCAGCTGTGTAGGCTGAGGGGGCAGCGGTAACAGGAAAGGAAAGGAGATCGGGTGGGGGGGGACGGGAGGGAGAGGGGAAGGGGAAGGGAAAAAGGGAAAGTGGGTGGTGGGCAAGGGGAGATGAAAGGGACTGTGCTCCGTCCCCCAATACCCAATGCTTGCAATCGCCAGCCACAGAAGTACAGAGCTACATTCCCCCTCTTTCGCCTCACAAAGGGGAGGGAAGGGAGGAGAGAAACGGGAAACAGCGGATGTATGGTGAGGTGGGGAAGAGGCAAGGAGGGTCAGGGGGGATAGTACATGTCAGGAGGAAGAACGTGTTGGACGAGATTGGGGGCTGTGAGGCAGCATGAACATGGCGGACAGAGCACGAGCTGACTTTTGAGTCGACTCAAAAGGAGGAAGAACGTGCGGGACGAGATTGGGGGCTGTGAGGCAGAGTGAGTACATGGCATGGACATGGCGGACAGTACAGAGCACGAGTGAGCGCAAATCGAACGGGCGGAGCTGACGCTGACATGGCCTCTTCAAATGCGGCTGGGCTCACAGCCAGCCCAGGAGATTCAGCATGGCACCAGGCGCGGCAGGCAGTGGTCACTGATCACCTTTCTGCTGCCGCCTCCCCTCCACCAGCAGCAGCTGCCTGATTGCTGTGTTCACTGTCATGTAGCGAGGTGGCTCATACCGGATCTTTCCCCTGCACGTAACAAGAAGGCGGGGAGAGAGGTGAGAGAGAGCAGAGGGAGCAGAGGGAGCAGAGGGAGCAGCAACGCAGAAAGGACAGGCTGAGAGGCTTTGAGGTTTGACGAAGAGAGCAGGAGGGAAGAAACGAATCCTAGTGGAAACACGCAGCGATGAAGTGAGTCCTTTGCACAGAAACGGACGCCATACGCCATACAAATGCGATGAGCCAAGGTCCACAAAGAGCCCCTCTTATCTGGAGACTGGAGTGCAGACTATGGTATCCCACAACAACAATATTGCCGCTCTCAGGTGGCTGTTGCTGGTCTCAGGTGGCTATTGCTGGTCTCAGGTGGCTATTCCTGGTCTCAGGTGGATATTAGCTGGTCTCAGGTGGATATTAGCTGGCCTCAGGTGGACATTAGCTGGTCTCAGGTGGCCATTGCCGCTCTCAGGTGGCTATTGCTGGTCTCAGGTGGATATTAGCTGGTCTCAGGTGGATATTAGCTGGTCGCAGGTGGCCATTGCCGGTCTAAGGTGGCTATTGCTGGTCTCAGGTGGCTAGTGCCAGTCTCATCTCAGGTGGCTAGTGCCAGTCTCAGGTGGCTAGTGCCATTCTCGTCCGCCCAAGTCTCACTCACCTGCCCAATGCCCATGACCCAATTGGCTCACCTGGCCATGGCCTCGAGAGATGGCTCCTTCACCTTGATGTCTGGCGGATGGCAGCAGCAACGGGGCAAGGCAACAGGGGGAAGGAGGAGGATGTTGAGTGGAAAGATGATTGGCAGCGAAATGGGGAGAGGAGACACGGCGTGAGGAGACACGGCGTGAGGAGAAACGGGGTGAGGAGGCATGTGCAGAAAGGCAAGAAGGAGAATAGACGCCTACCGAGCAAGCAGAGCGTGTGGAGTTCCCTTTGGGCATTCCCTAGGATGCGGTCGTAGAAGCTGTCAGGCTGCCACGTGTCTGTGAAGAAGGGGATGGACACTGTCTCACCGAACCTGAGAGAGAGGCTCGGCAGGGATGAAAAGGAGGCAGAGTACGATGAAACTCAGTGCCGATACATGCATCATGCATGATGCATGGTGCATGGTGCATGGTGCATGGTGCATGGTGCATGGTGCATGAAGCATGATGCATGACGCATGATGCATGACGCATGATGCATGATGCATGGTGCATGGTGCATGGTGCATGGTGCATGGTGCATGGTGCATGAAGCATGATGCATGACGCATGATGCATGACGCATGATGCATGATGCATGGTGCATGGTGCATGGTGCATGGTGCATGGTGCATGGTGCATGCGTGACATGGGTGAAGCAGTGTCAGAACTCAACAGCTACACAGGTAAGGGTGCACGTAATGCAGTCGAGGGTACTAATTTCGACAAGCTCCCAGGGTACACCCCTTACCTGTACAGCTGCGCCCCTTACCTGGACAGCTGCGCCCCTTACCTGCACAGCTGCGCCCCTTACCTGCACAGCTGCGCCCCTTACCTGCACAGCTGCGCCCCTTACCTGCACAGCTGCGCCCCTTACCTGCACAGCTGCGCCCCTTACCTGCACAGCTGCGCCCCTTACCTGCACAGCTGCGCCCCTTACCTGCACAGCTGCGCCCCTTACCTGCACAGCTGCGCCCCTTACCTGCACAGCTGCGCCCCTTACCTGCACAGCTGCGCCCTTACCTGTACAGCTGCGCCCCTTACCTGTACAGCTGCAGCCCCATGCCCCCCACAGCATTGAGCACGGTCGCATTGTGCACCACGCTCACTGCCACGCCCTGCTGCTTCTGAGTCGACTCAAAAGCAGACTCACCTGTAGAGCTGCAGCCCTGTGGCGCCCACAGCGTTGAGCACGGACGCGTTGTGCACCACGCTCACTGCCACGCCCTGCTGCCGCGCTCGCAGGATGAGGTCCGTGTGCGTCGTGGCGCTGGGGGGGGGGGGGAGGGCATATGAAGAGAAGGTAGGAGCAGGAGCCTAGTTTTGAGGGGCCTCAGAGCTGGGATGAGGTCCGTGTGCGTCGTGGCGCTGGGGGGGGGGGGGGGAGGGCATATGAAGAGAAGGTAGGAGCAGGAGCCTAGTTTTGAGGGGCCTCAGAGCTGGGATGAGGTCCGTGTGCGTCGTGGCGCTGGGGGGGGGGGGGGGAGGGCATATGAAGAGAAGGTAGGAGCAGGAGCCTAGTTTTGAGGGGCCTCAGAGCTGGGATGAGGTCCGTGTGCGTCGTGGCGCTGGGGGGGGGGGGGGGAGGGCATATGAAGAGAAGGTAGGAGCAGGAGCCTAGTTTTGAGGGGCCTCAGAGCTGGGATGAGGTCCGTGTGCGTCGTGGCGCTGGGGGGGGGGGGGGAGGGCATATGAAGAGAAGGTAGGAGCAGGAGCCTAGTTTTGAGGGGCCTCAGAGCTGGGATGAGGTCCGTGTGCGTCGTGGCGCTGGGGGGGGGGGGGAGGGCGGATGGGAGGAAGGCGGATGGATAGAATCGCATGGGGGGTAAAGGCCGCATTGACAAAGCACAGACTGAATTTTTGCAAACTAGGATGGGGTCCATGTGCGTGGTAGCGCTGGGAGGGGGCGGGCGGGTGGGAGGAGGGCGGAACGGATGGGCAAGGGAGGGATTGGGAGAGTGGAGGGAATGCAAGGTGTGTAATGCATCTAATTTGAGTAGACTCAGAAATAGACTCGTTACAGAGGGAGTGCATGGTGGGTGACAATGGTATCAAGATGGCCTCGCATGGTGTCCAGGGCGAGAGGCAAAGCAAGACAGTGGGCGGAGGAAGCAAGATGAGAAAAGAACGCTGTTTGAATTAAAAGAGGTGCAGCATTTGGAGTTAGGAGTTCCAGGTTCAGCGCTGGTTCCCTCAACGTACTCCATGAGCAAAACACATGCTATTCTCTTGCTGACGCTTCAGAGAAATAACACCACCTATTTATCACGTCATGGCACACCATAATCCCATGTCATGCATCATCCCATGTCATGCATCATCGCATGTCATGCATCATCCCATGTCATGCCATCATCTCACGGCGTGCCAATGCACACGGTCCTTATGGCACAGCCGCGTCGTCGGCATACAATCAACAACCCATACCACATCATCATATCAGCGTGGCGTGGAAACATGGCATTATGATTATCTGATGAAATCATGGTGGCATGATCTCCTACATGCCATGATGCCACCAGCACATCAGCCCTGGCAGCAGCCAGCCATGCACGCGGCACCCACCCGAAGGGGTCAGCACAACAGCCCTGGCATGGGCCGTGGCACGAGCAGCAGCCATGCACGCGGCACCCACCCGAAGGGGTCGCCCACAACGAGGAACGCCACCTCTTCCGTGGCGGCCAGCTGCAGCACCTCACCAATACGGCTCTCCACCATGTCCCGGTCCGCCACCTGCACCGGGCGCCCGTACAGCGCCTCCTGCTCACAGCGGGGGGGAGAGCGTGGCATGGGGCTGTTAGCGGGACGCTCAAGCAGCGCCTTCTCGCCTCTCCACCATGTCCCGGTCCGCCACCTGCACTGCCCGCCCGTACAGCGCCTCCTGGATTGAAGAGTGGGGGGAGGGCGTGGCACGGGGCTGTTAGAGGGGCGCTCAAGCAGCGCCTCCTTGCCTCTCCACCATGTCCCGCTCCGCCACCTGCACTGCCCGCCTGTACAGCCCGTGCGCCTGCAACTTAAAGCTGATGAGACATACAAGTGGCGATCAACTCCTCCTCACCAGCCTGTCTGTGTCAATGAGCAGCACGAACGTGAACTCTTAAAGAACTGGCAGCGCCGCCCGGATCATTTGAGTGCCTATCACCCACTCACCACCCTCTCCTCCTCTCACTACCCTCTCCTCCTCTCACCACCCTCTCCTCCTCTCTCCACCCTCTCCTCCTCTCACCACCCTCTCCTCCTCTCTCCACCCTCTCCTCCTCTCACCACCCTCTCCTCCTCTCACCACCCTCTCCTCCTCTCTCCACCCTCTCCTCCTCTCACCACCCTCTCCTCCTCTCACCACCCTCTCCTCCTCTCTCCACCCTCTCCTCCTCTCTCCACCCTCTCCTTAACCTCTCAACCCCTTGCCCTGTGCTCTCACCAGCCTGTCCTTGTCGACGAGCAGCACGGACGTGTACGCCTCGAGGAACACGTGCTGGCAGCGCCGCACCACCTCCAGACCCCTCACTGTGATGTCCCTCTCGTCCCACAGCCCCAGCCCCACCACGTGCAGCATGCTGCCCTGCTGCTGCTGCTGCTGCTAGCGCTGTTGCTGGTGGTGCTGCTGCTGCTGCTGCTGCTAGCTGCTGCTGCTGCTGCTGCAACTGCCTCCTCTGATCACGGGTTGGTGTGCGTCGGTCCTTGAAATGCGAGAGAGCCAGTGCATGTGCAGCCGCAAAGGCGGTCTGGTGGGGTACAGCGGCGGCTCCTGAGGGAGGCAGCACGTGGGGGGGAGGGAAGGGGGAAGGGGCGAGGGAAGGGGCGACGGAAGGGACGAGGAATGGGAGGCCTGTAAGGTTGATTTCATGGGCAGCGAGGTGCTCCAGGGGGCGAGAGGGCGGGCCTCAGGTGCGGGTGTTTGGGTGGGAGGGCGGCACAGGAGGGGGGGCACAGGAGGGGGGCACAGGAGGCACAGGAGGCACAGGAGGCACAGGGGGCACAGGAGGCACAGGAGGCACAGGAGGCACAGGAGGCACAGGAGGCACAGGAGGCACAGGAGGCACAGGAGGCACAGGAGGCACAGGAGGCACAGGAGGCACAGGAGGCACAGGAGGCACAGGAGGCACAGGAGGCACAGGAGGCACAGGAGGCACAGGAGGCACAGGAGGCACAGGAGGCACAGGAGGCACAGGAGGCACAGGAGGCACAGGAGGCACAGGAGGCACAGGAGGCACAGGAGGCACAGGAGGCACAGGAGGCACAGGAGGCACAGGAGGCACAGGAGGCACAGGAGGCACAGGAGGCACAGGAGGCACAGGAGGCACAGGAGGCACAGGAGGCACAGGAGGCACAGGAGGCACAGGAGGCACAGGAGGCACAGGAGGCACAGGAGGCACAGGAGGCACAGGAGGCACAGGAGGCACAGGAGGCACAGGAGGCACAGGAGGCACAGGAGGCACAGGAGGCACAGGAGGCACAGGAGGCACAGGAGGCACAGGAGGCACAGGAGGCACAGGAGGCACAGGAGGCACAGGAGGCACAGGAGGCACAGGAGGCACAGGAGGCACAGGAGGCACAGGGGGAGGCACAGGAGGCACAGGAGGCACAGGGGAGGGGCACAGGAGGCACAGGGGGGTAAAGAGGAGGTGTGAGGGGGGCGAGGGTCCAGCAGTGAAGGACGGATGGGTCGCATGGGGAGGCGCATGGGGAGGAAAGGACGCGTGCAGGGAACATGTGGGTGAGGGGTTGCTTGCTACAACGAGCGGCCACATGGGATGTGTGAACCACTTGGGTTCATCCTGTGCGTTATTCACTCCGATCCTCCCTTCGTCCCTTACCCACTCCGCTCCCCTTCCTCTGCCTCCCTCCCTCTCCCCCCTCTCTCCTCTCCCTCGCACCCTCCCTCCTCTCACTCCCTCCCTCCTCTCCGCCCTCCCGTCTCTCCCTCCCTCCCTCTCCTCCTCGCTTCCTCCCCCACCCAAACCATTCTCCTTCGTCGACTGCCTCCCCTCATCTCCCTCCCCCCCTCCCCCCTTCCTCGGCTCCCCCCCATCCCTCCCCCCGTCCGTGCGCGCCCACCCTTTCCCCCCTTCTCTTCCTCTCCTCTCCCCCCCTTCCCCACCTGCGAGCAGCGATGGGCCGCGGGGTTGTGGTGGTTGAGGGCGCGAGGGGCGAACGGGAGGGGCTGGGACAATGCAATGTGAGGGGAGGGGCAAGGCTGGGGGAGAGGCGTGGCGTGTGGCACTGGTGGGCGGGATGGAGGGCAGGGAGACAGCAGGTGGAGGCGGTGGGAGGGGGTAGATGAATTGAGGCGAGGGGAGAGGGGAGAGGGGAGAGGGGAGAGGGGAGAGGGGGGAGGGGAGAGGGGAGATGGGAGAGGGGAGAGGGGAGAGGAGGGGGGGAGAGGGGAGAGGGGAGAGGGGAGATGGGGAGGGGAGAGGGGAGAGGGGAGAGGGGAGGGGTGGTGAGGGCGATCTCGATGCGAGGGGCTTACGGCCGAGCGGTCAGGACGGCGCGGCGCGGCGAGTGCAGTGGAGGTGACGTGCAATGTGTGTACCTTGGGAGCTGTACCTTGGCAGGCATACCTTGGCAGGCGGTACCTTGGCAGGCGGTACCTTGGCAGGCGGTACCTTGGCAGGCGGTACCTTGGCAGACGGTACCTTGGCAGGCGTTCAAATCGCGACTTGTGCTCGATTGCGTGAGTGCCCGCGTCGATCCCCGCGGAATCGATGCCCTCGTTGACGCTACCCGATCGTCACGATCGGCGACGGTGCTCTACTGTTCAGCACGGTGCTGTATCGACGGGCCGCTTGCTTAGTAGGACGTGTCACATTTCGTCCGGTTCGCAAGATCGCTTCGCGATTCTCGCGGATTACCGTGCTTTACTACTCTGTAGCGTTTTTGTACCGCACTGAACCCTTAACCATTCAAAATGATCCGGACGAGGATCGATTTAGGCTATTCGACCCAAGTGCGACGCGCCCTGTTGCTGACGACGGATGGAGCCTACACACACCCGAAACCCCGAGACAGACGCTGCCGTTGCCAATCTCCCAGGGCGCGTTTCGGACGGCAGATCGTGCTGAACCTGAGTTGTGCGAACTGCATGGCCGCATTTGGCATGTCGCGGTACTGCAGATTCACCAAGCAGGGGGGAGGGGGGTGTGGGTGGGTTGGTTGGCGGGATTTGAGGGGGGGCTTTTCAGTATGCGCAATTGCGAGGTTCAGGTTGGGTTCCAATTTATCACATTTTCTGGCTACACCACCACAAATTTTGCGTTACAAAATATTTTGGGAGCAGGTCTGCTGCTACCTAGTGGCTCTGGCAGACGAGCCCAGAGGCGAAATCCCTGGCTCTACCCCTAGCTGCCTCCCGCTAGGGGAGGATGCGGAACGGGATATCCTTGGCTTTACTGCAGTGCTCTCTCATCGTCCCTCTGGGCTTGAGCTTGTCAGTCGTTCCCTGGCGACGACACACAGACGACCCATTGTCGAACGCTGTATCGTCGCTGTATCGTCGCTGTATCGTCGCTGCATCGTCGCTGTATCGTCGCTGTGCCGTCGCGCGCTGCTTGGTTCAAATCAATCCGTCCGTCGCCATGGCAGCGCGTGCGCCGTGCGTGCGTCTGCTGGTCCATCTCGACCCCTTCGCCACCACGCACATCAACTACACCCACCTGCGCCGACAAGCCGCTTCTGCAGCGGCCGCTGCGCCTCCTCCGCTCGGCGCGGAGCCATCGGCGGAAGGCGCGGGGAATGGTGGCGGCGGCGGTAAGGCGGAGGCGGATCGCCCCGCAGAGAAGGGCGCCGGCGGAGAAGAGAGCGCGAAAGGCGATGTGCCGCCGGGAAATGCGGCAAATCAGGTCCGCGGACTAGTCTAGTTGTTCGACCGTCGGTTAGCGTCCCGCTATTATGCTCCGCGGACTGTGTTTCTCCCCTTGTGCTCCGCGGACTGTGTTTCTCCCCTTGTGCTCCGCGGACTGTGTTTCTCCCCTTGTGCTCCGCGGACTGTGTTTCTCCCCTTGTGCTCCGCGGACTGTGTTTCTCCCCTTGTGCTCCGCGGACTGTGTTTCTCCCCTTGTGCTCCGCGGACTGTGTTTCTCCCCTTGTGCTCCGCGGACTGTGTTTCTCCCCTTGTGCTCCGCGGACTGTGCTTCTCCCCTTGTGCGCCGATTACTGCTGCGCCGTGAGATAGACGCGTGACTGAGACGGAACGCCAGGCACTAGTCTGTCCACTGCACACCCGCACCATTTATGCTTTTGAATCGACTCAGATTCAAGCTCAAAACAAGCGGTTTTGAGTCGACTCGAAAGGCAGTTGTCTCTCTACCGCACACGCGCACCATGTCCTGCGATGTTTGAAGGGCTTCCATTATACTCCACCCTCGGCTTCGCTCGTTCGTCCCCGCCTTCCCCCTCCAGGCCGCCGCGCGCAGCAGGGAAGCGGCGAAGGCCGCGCTGCCGCTGGGCGATCCGCTGCCCGAGGCGAGGAACCGCTTCAGCGCCGTCATCGATAAGATCTCCCGACTGTACGCGGTATGGCCATGGCTGCACGCGGTATGGCCATGGCTGCACGCGGTATGGCAATTGATGCATTTGAGCATGCTGTGTTCCCGGGCATAGCACGCACGTGTTGAGGCATGCTGTGTTCCCAGGTTCCGTGAGTCGTCTCGCAGCACTCGCGTGGCGTACGACCTCGCACGTCGCTATGAGCACACCTAGCTTGCTGCCGGCGCATCTGGGCGAACCCTGCCGGGCCATCCTAGCTGACGGCTGCACATCTCTTGCATACCCCCCTCCACCGCTGCATGCCCCCTTCCCCCCCTGCATGCGCCATCCCCCCCTGCATGCGCCATCCCCCCCTGCATGCGCCATCCCCCCCTGCATGCGCCATCCCCCCCTGCATGCGCCATCCCCCCCTGCATGCGCCATCCCCCCCTGCGCGCCCGTGCATGCAGGGCGCGGACAGCGACGACGATGACGACATGCCCAACGCGCCCACGGCAGCAGCAGGGGGGGCAGCGGCGCCACAGGGAACAGAGGGGCAGCGCACGGAGGGTGCAGCGAGAGGCGGCGAGGGGGCAGGGGGAGAAGAGGAGGAGCGGTGGGAGGGGTGGGAGGAGGAGGAGGAGGAGGAGGAGGCATACTCAGAGGGGTACGACACAGACGACCCCTTCATCGATGACTCGGACCTGGTGAGCCCATGCGCGCTGCTGGTGAGCCCATGCGCGCTGCTGGTGAGCCATGCGTGCTGCTGGTGAGCCCATGCGTGCTGCTGGTGAGCCCATGCGCGCTGCTGGTGAGCCCATTCGTGCTGCTGGTGACTCGGACCTGGTGAGCCCATGCATGCTGCAGGCGCCTCCTCCGAGAATGCCCCCTTAGCCACCACCCCACCCCGCACCATGCGCACGCCCGCCCACGCCCGCCCCCCTCACCGCCCATTGCTTCAAACCCATCGACGACTCGGACCTGGTAAGCCCATGCGCTCGCACGCCCGCGCTGCCTGCTCCTCTCCTCTGCGCTGCACCATTTTCTGTAACGAGACGAGTATGATGTAGCTACTTGCCGGCGTGGCGGCGTAGATGCAGCGTTGCTGCCGGATTCGTGTTGCCGCGTCGTTGTGGCATCATGCCATCGTTTCGTGCTGCACTTGATGCCGTGGGTCATGTTCCGTCTCATCTCCCTCCATGTGAATAATTTTGCCACATGACCACATGACCACATGACCACATCGGGCGGCGGGCAGAGGGAGTATTTCTCGTCCAAGCGGACGTCAAAGCGCGCTGGCTTCTTTGTCAACAGAGCAGGCTCTGACGATTCCCCTGCCAGGTGCGGTGCCCGTTCCGTTTCCCCTGCCAGGATTCCATTCCCATGTGTCATTCGTTGCACCGTTCAGTCATTTGCTTGTATTGCAGTCATGGCTCGAGTCCTCAGGAGCCTTCATGGCTTTGTGTGGCAAACACCATGAGCTGTTCGCATCTCCGCTTTACTCCCTTTCAACCGTCCTCTCTCTCTTTCTCTCTCTTCCCCCTGCAAACCCCCTCCCCCCCCCCCTCTCCCCGCACTTGCGTCCCCCAGCCCCTCCTCTCCTGCCACGTCACCACGCCCATCAGCAGCATCGCCTGCGTGCACCAGCGCGCCACTTCCCTCTTCCTCGCTGCGCGGCACGCTGCGGGGTGTCAAGCAGGCGGCGCGCGCAGCGGCAGCAGGGGGGCCGTCGAAGCCGCGGCGGCTGCACAAGTCGCAGCGCCTGCCGCAGCTGGGGGTGCGGCGGAGAGGGGCGCTCAAAGGGGGGGGTATGGGGGGGCATGGGGGCGTCGGCTTGGGAATGGGGCATGTGGTGATGGGCGGGAGGGGTAGAGGCAGAGGGAGGGGGCGAGGGAGGGGAAGGGGGTCCGCTGCTGCTGATGCTGGTGAAAGTGGTGGTGCTGCTGCTGTTGCTGAGTCCCATGGCCGTCCGCAGCAGCAGCAGCAGCAGCGGATAGGCAGCGATGCTGGCGGCTCGTCTCCTGCCGCTGGTGGTAGCGGCGCTGCAGGCAGGGAAGAGAGCATACCGTGACTGGGAGGGTGGAGACAGGACGAGGTGGTGCACGGGTGGCAGGGGACAGCAGGAGGAGAAGGGGTGTGAGTGAGTGGGGGAAAGATGAGGAGGCGAGCACACACGTGGCGAGGAACTGAGCCGTGACTGGCAAGTGAGTGCTCCGTTCTCCTGTGATTGCGGGGAGAGTGCATGTGTGGCCAGTGTGATGCTGTGGTAGTGAGTCGTGACTGCTTGGCAGCGACCTGAGAGACTATAAGGTGCTGCTGGGCGCTTGATGAGGTGTGGTCATCAGATCACAAGTGTTTTAACTTGCCTCTGACATCCCCGCGATGGCCAAACCACTGACTCTGATGGCCTGGCAGGCGCCCATGACCAGACATGAGTCTCCGTGCTGGTTCTTCATTTTTCAGTGTTCCTTCCATGCGTTTTCCATCCACTCGTGTTCTCTTTTGTTTCTTCCCATATTTGTTTCTTCTGTTTCAGGTCAGGTTCCCTTTTGCCATGCGAGTGACAAATTCATCTGGCCGTGTTTACATGTTGCGCTGTTTGACTCAATAGCTACTACTCTGCATGACCATTCCAGTGCAAACCTTCTCCTTGGAATCAGGGTCCTAGATTGCCTTGGAACACTTTCTAAGCGATCAGAGGGGCGGATTTTTTATTTCTGATTTCCCAGACGAAGTGAAAGACGAATTCTAAATATTCAGACGAGTCAATCGACAAAATCTAATTGCCCCCGACACACACCCCCCCTCTCCGCCACCCGTGCACCCCCTCGTGGCCCTAGGATTTTCTTCACGTGAACTTTGGCGATGAAACCACTCGGAGTGGTTTTTAATTGGGGGACGAAATTGTGGGAATGGAGCAGAAAGGATTTGGGAAGGGATGCGAATCACAATTGCAGGGGCGGGAGGGGAATCGGCGCGAGCACACGTGGGGTATATACCTAAGAGTGTTGTACCCTCTAAGAGGTGACCCTATACAGTCTATACAAATATGAGTTATACATATATTTGACACACCCCCTAGACTGCATAGGGGCAAATCCTGAACAATCAGCTCAGGGCGGCACTACTAGTCCAGCCACTGAGACAAGGGTCTAAATGTCAAACATGTGTATTTGTTATGTTTGCATAGACTGTATAGGGTCATCTCTTAGAGGGTACAATACTTAGGTATATCTATCTGTACTCTCCCTCTATCTAATCATTCACTTCTCTCAGTTTGATATGGTATCACGCGTAGGTTAGGATCCTCCCACCTACCGCTTCCGCTCGTCCCCTAGCTAGGCCCCGCCGTGCCTCCCCCCTAGCCCCGTCGCGACCCCCTGGGCCCCGTCGTGCCCCTAGCCCTGCCGCGCCCCTCCTGGGCCCCGTCGCGACCCCCTAGCCCCCGTCGCGACCCCCAGGGCCCCGTCGCGACCCCCCAGCCCCGTCGCGACCTCCTAGCCCCGTTGCGACCCTCCCGGGCCTTGCTGCGCCCCTCGCCCCGTCGTGCCCCTCCTGGGCCCCGTAGCGCCCCTCCTGGGCCCCGTCGCGCCCCTCCTGGGCCCCTCCTGGGCTCCGTAGTGCCCCTCCT